GAGAAGTCTGACTTGTCTGATCTCTCAAGATTCTGCAGCTATCGTGTGGTTGTCCACTGTTCGCCTATTTGCCTCGCGTCAAACATTTCCGCATTCACACGCATACCGAGGGCTGTGAGACTTGACGAGTTGAAGTTTTCAATGTACTATATCCAATATGCAGTATATCAAATATACAAATCGGATGAAAATTTGAAGATTGATAATTTTGACATTTATCAGTGCATGCAACAAAAAACAACTCATGTCACATGCACACAAATACTTGGATGTGGAAGCAATCAGTATGAGCAAATATAACAGCGAAATGATATGTCAATAGCTCAAACTTATCATCATGAGGGTGTCACAATATAATGAATTCCATAGTAGCTAATTGATGACGCCATTCACCAGTGACGAAGTAGAACATCAGAGAAACAGTTACAAAGAAAAGATTTGGTAGGAGCTTACACATAGATTACTTTTGTAAATTGTCACTGATATATTACGAAATACAAAATGCATAGACAACGAGCAATAAGGAGACTGAATAAATCTATTCAGCTACCTACGGTGAATAGAGAAGAGCGCACACACAAATGCAATAAGTCATACGCAGATTACGCACTCACTCTAAATATGAAAATTAGTCAATGCGAAATCGATATTATATCTTCATATCCACAGTGTCACTAATCGACGCTTATACAATCATAATATATTCCGTATTAGTATTAAGCGGACACCAACTGATGAACCGCTGAGTGCATCTCTCCCTTCCGTGAGATTGGAGGTGCTAATGACGAGCAGACATCAGCCTCACCTGAAGCCTTCATTCTACTCTAAGGAGTGAACCATCGGTTGATTTCAGTAGACCTTTGTTAGTTGATTGCTGTTTAACAACATTCACTCCAACGTGAGAGTTTTCATAATGGGTTATGAAACAATGACCCCGAGGAACATCGGATATCGTCAACAAATCTCCTTCAAACTCACATTTCAATAAACACTGTAATCGCCGATGCCCTGAAAATATTCTTCGAAAATTTCGGTTGACACTCCACCAATCATGTTGGTGACAGTTTCATTCAAGTCTCCAATCGATGGAACTAGTCTGGCTTTGATGGAATTCAATGTAGTTGAGAAACACCACCCTGTGCACCGTGAACATATCACACTTTGCGATGAGCTAGCAGCTTTGCATAATCTGTCATGTGTTTGTCACACACTGCGTTCCATGGATATCGAAAGAGGGTACAGTCAGTTGCTAGGTCATGATGAGTTCCTGCGTCGGTTAATTATATGTTTTCGTGAATTCGTTTTCCATTGAATTTTAAAGGTTTTTCTTGATGTTTTGCCCATTTTGCAGTGTGTAGGTCAGTTTTTGTCACTGGGTGCTACTGTTTAGCTTATTTTTAGCCTGAAGTTCACAGTTATAAAGTTGGTAGTCAAAGATTGTTTTAAACCTGCAATCATTGAGCTAATTAACGTATACTATGCTAATATAGTAACATAGACTATGCTAATATAGTAACATTAAACTCCCTTACTGTTTTGCCATTGTTTGACAGTGAAACTGTGCGCTGATTTTTCAGCATGAGTGGCACCAAATCGAACCTACTTGGTTTGCTTATCAACGTTGTTCCAGCCCTCACAGGACATATTAGGCATGGACTAGCGTTACTCCAGAGCGGAAAGTTTTGATTCAGCACGCAGCTGTCTTTTTAAGCACGACCTGTGTCATTTCAGAACATAATGGGTAAATATGATCTTGGTGGTGCTGCCGTCTAAGTGATAAATCGTATTAATCACCATTATTCAGGATATGCTATGAACCGGAAATCATCAGCTGAAAAACGTATGAATAAGACACAGATCGATGTAATTTATAACTGACTCCAAATTGCTTTCATCACGAAATAATCAACCAAAGTATGCTTTAAACTGTCGTTCTCAGCCGTTTGAAGGGAAATTTACTTGATTTATGCTGACCTAGTATGCTAGTATGCACAAATCCCAAAGGTCAATGAATTGACAACTTAAAAAAGTAGATTAGTTAATACATACATTTATCTATATGTACTAATTAAGGATACATTAAAATTTTAGAAATTGTAATTAAATTTTATTCGCCTAGTAATCAAAAATGCATACATCCTATTTTGGACTTAAAATAAATGCATCGAAATTATTGTTGATTTATATTCAGTTACCAGACATTCTCATACATCTTAATGTACTTTAAATACCAACAAGGCATCCAAATAACGTGTGACTGTCACACCACACTCATACCAAAAAAATTAACACGCCATTATATTATGGGAAGGTAAGCCCTAAATCATACTGACTGTAAATTTCCGTGTCAAAATAAAAATATCACCGCATCAACTTATACATTAGACCAATAGGAAGACGGCTAACCAACAGCCAATCAAAATCTGCCTATATCTAATTTCCTGAAAAGCAAATGGATAATGTCAGCTTCCATTTGGTTCACTGAAGTGAATAAAGCGTAATATTTCCATTGTGAAGTCAAGCGAGTAATGAACGTTTCGCACTATGAAGCAGACAGTGAGAATCAAAGACTGAAATTTTTTCCACAATTTGTGGATTTAATGATGCCATGATATCAGTCAATGTGCATTCCATGAATGAGAGCTCGACTTCAACGGGAGTTGTGACTTCGCAGAAAATACTGAGGTAGCCTGCAGTAAGAGCCCTCCATATGCGTAGAATTCACTCAGTAACGACAGTGGTTGAGATTACAACCTCCAGATACTTGATAGCCAAAATACATGGAAGCTACAACTCAAACATACGATGGAGTGTGCATAGCAAAATGTGGTCATGGTGACAGTGTGACAACACAACGAAGCCAATACCTCCCATCTGCTGGTGATTTTTTCATCAGTGATAACTTTGAAGATATGAGAAACAGTAACAAAGAATAGCTGAGAAAGTATTTAACGCAGATATTCATTTTGTTATCTGGAACTGAGAAATTATGAAATACACAAAATCATAGACTACTGAGTAGAATTCATTTGCTCCGTACGCGTAGGCTTGCATTTTTTAGTGCTTACTGTCTTTTACTCGACATCACCTTGAGTGTGCTGAATCAGAATGTTGACAATAAGCATATGTGTGGGTGTCACAATGAAGGTGTATTAAGATTTGAATAATCTGATGACCTTAATCTGAAGAAGGTAGAATCACAGTGTGGTAGAATCGTATGTCTATTAAAATTAATATTCGATAGATCAGAGTTACTTTCAAATATCAGCAGAAATCTTGTCCACTTCAACACACACACATATCTATTATAATTAACTTCATCATCGGAAAGAAACTTCTGAATATTTTTGTATCCGACTAGGGATTCCACCTGATGGATATTCATAGAAAACAAGGATTTGAAGAGTAGGGTCAAACTCTTCTTTTAAGTTATGTAGAGTTGTATTCACGTTTATTGACAGCATATCGTTTCTTTATCCACCAACAAGCTGTTCCTGGAAAGATATACAAGTTTTTTCCTTAAGTGCCAACAGCATCAACACAGGTATTCTATTCACAGCTCATCTTTGTCTTCCTGGTGCCGAATACTGCTTGCTTAAATTGATTTTATTTGAGGTTGCCTAATATAAACACTTCTGCATATACTATTTACATGAAGTTGCAGTCTCTTGATTCTCTTTTATTTGACATGAAGAGGAGTCCGATTTCACTGCAGCTATGTATGAATAAATATATGTTTGACTAACTCGATCATCTATTCACCGTGCATTTTGCGACTCGCGATATGTGTTTATCTGAACAGGTGCAGGTTAAATTGATTGCAGGGGGATTTCTTTCGCTTGGTGTGTTTCACTGACTATTTCTAGGAAAAGGCTTTTCATTTGATTCATCTTCCTTCTCTCATTCTCCATTAACCTGCTCATGTCACGGTGAGGTTAGCAAAGCATGAAAATTAATATTCGTTTTCCTCTTCGGGAGAAAATCACAGTAAAATAGATTGTTCAGGGGCAGGAAGCTTTGCCTCGTGCGCTAATTTGCTTAGAGTAACACTTCGAAATTCGACACGCGAATACTTCTCAGAATTTGAAAACATACTTCATATTGCCCTTGAAAATGTCTAATGATTATTGTCGCCCACATCTTTCTGCAACGTCAAAGATGAAACGACAACACATGCTACGAGATCGTATATAAACCTATTTATGATGATGTTTGCTCAGATATACACACAACAGATAGTATATATCAACATAGATATACATATGCAGCTGCAGAGAACATATCTGGATAACCAATCACTCTTCACTGCGTCAAAGAGACCGTCGCATATCAGATGGCATAATCACAAATGTGAAAATAATTCTGTTCTCACTTGAACCAACGGAATGAATAACACCGATGGGTTTCGACAGATGGTTCGGATTGATGCATATGCTGTCAACGACTGAAATCGCAATAGCTATAAGAAGTAGGTGGCCAGTATAAAAATGTATGAAACTGAATATATTATTGACTTTATCATACATATCTAAAAGAAAATTGCTGAGCGGATCACATTCAATCAAAATCAACTTATCTTTGATGAAAATGTAGTTCTGGCATCGATTCGATATTTGGGTTGATCACCATTAACTCCCCAACTTGAGACTCATGGTGTCATTAAATTTAGTCAAACTTGAACCCTATTTGGAACACAATTAACCTGATTATAAACACAGTGTATGCTGCTGGCTTCTTACATTGAACAGTTTTTTCACTCTAGGCTAATGGTGGTGGCTAATGTGATGGTTGTACCTTCTCTGACCAACTCAAAGCAATGTCATGTCTTTTGAAATGATATTTTCACACACACCTGCTCAACGGCTAACTAATTCCTAACGACACTTTATAAATTCTCGACACTGAATACGCCTAAAAACAATTACAACTGGAGTCTCAGGTCACGGAAAACCAATCGCGTATATGATGTACAGGTGAACAGAAATGAGAACACATGAGAATGTTTAACCAAATATTTATTTAAATGTATGAAAAATGAAATAATCAGTGAGATTTTTTATACTTGTATGAATCTGGACATGAAGTAACATAGCAAGAGAAATAACGCCAATAATAAAAATAACTTCGTTTTTCAATTTGAGTAGATTGACTACCACCGAGACGATTGTTGGGTAACACTGCGAAAAATGAGAAAAGGAATGCGTGGTAAGAATCAATCAAAAATCTGAAATGCACTGACTTAAATGAAGCAAACACACACACACACAAGCAGAAATACATCTCAATATCGATGTACACATGCACCACTTGAAACGGAATCACTGCATTAAACACATCTCACACAATCAATCACTCTTCACTGTGTCAAACAGACTGTGACACACTAGATGACAAAATGACAAATGTGATAATAAAAATGTGTTCTCACCTTGATCAGAAGAATGATGAACTTCACCGCCGTTCAACAGACGGTTCTGGTCGATATATGTGCTGTCAACGACTGAAATCGCAATAGCTATAAGAAGCAGGTAGCCAATCTGAAAGGGTGTTCAACATGACCATATTCTTCAACTTACCATTCTTATCAAAAGAGAATTAGCTGAGCGGAGAGACGATTTCTCACAATCAAGAAGCATGTATTTATAGCTTACAAGAAGACTGTGAAGCAAACATATGTTGAGGTCATCTAGTTAGAGCAACACATTTTGTTTCTGTGAACCAATAGGAAGTTAGTCGACTTACCTGTGGTTATACGCATTGCTGATCACGTAGAAGTGGATGTTTTTGAGTTTCGATCTGAACGCAGACACTGTTGCGTCATTTTCAATCTTCTTTGCTTTTTACGCTACACTATAACATTGGAGGCTCCCTTTCCCGATTCCCAATGGATGAGTGAATTGAATGGCCTCTACCATCGAGATAATGTTTTAGAAACTTCGATCTTTGGCCTGTGTTTTGAGTACAGTGAATATGTCATGTACATACCTGCAAAGTACCCTTAGGGTAGAAGGGAACAGTTCAATCGCTTTGTTTTCTCACCTATGCACGAATATAACTGCCAAACTTGGGAATGCTGGCGACCTCATTGCAACTCACACAGTTTCTTTGTATAATTTTACATGGAATTTAAATACTCTGGAATTCAGGCTCGGCTTAACTACCAACATTTTGTGCAGAAGTGGCACTTCCATTAACGTTCGGGTTGTCGGTGAGAAATGCGTTTGCTTCTGACTGCCTCTATAGGCATATTTATTGATTCGCATGTGTATGGATTTCTAGTGTAGCCAAAATTTCCTAGGCCGACCACAGGTATAAGGGGTGCGTCGGCATGGGCTTGAACCCCGGAACATGTGCATGGTCTGCGACAGTCCTAGCCACTCTGCCACTAACTCACAACTCACTGCAGCAACAGACGTTCTTTTCCCTAGATATCTTTTATGTTTTTCTAAAAAAAGACATTTTCCAATGAAATTCACTTCAAAGATGAATTACCTCTCGTACACCTATTTGTCAGATTGATTCCCTTCCTCTGATGTTCCTGACGAACGAAGCTAGTCAAAAAGTTGTTGTGTTATTCAATATTCCACGATTGAAATTCGCTCATATTTCTTCACCAATTTAGAGGAATATGACAAAAGATGAAAGTCACCTTTCTACGTCTGTCGCACCACATCTTCAATGAGATTTGCTTAGCTTCCCGAGAGTGACCAGAAATCATAGGACCACACATATTCATAAGGGAAAACGCCTTATTTGATATCTGTATCAGCCTACGAAATATTACTAGTAAACTGTTTGACTTATCAAATGAGTGAACAATCGACGGCACATTTAAACAAAGATCTATTATTTACACAGATGATTCTTCTAATCAGAGATTCACATACTGAAGACGAAACTGACGGCATTTTATCGCAACACACAAGGTAGCCATCCATTATCCGACGGAACATTTTGTTTCTTCGAATAGTTGGTTTCATTGACTGGATTTTGTAAATGAACACCACTTCTAGTTCAATTCCACTTTGATATGTCTCTGAATGCATGAGGCGGTTCGTTTTTCACGTGCCATGAGAATCAGTGAGTGAATGAACGAATCAGCCTACGATTTCACATTAGCATACATATCTTATCGATGTCCATTTCAACCTACGACGGCAAAAGAATATTATTGAGAAACAAATTCTGTGTGAACATTGGTTCAATTACTCAGCATGCACAAGAAAATGACGCAATTACTGACGCCATCAGTGGATTTTATAAAGAATAACGACGAAACCAGTCGTTATATTGTATTATCCTGAACGTGTTTTCATAATATGTAACTTCGTTCAATTAGCACATGCAGAAGTAGTTATGTTAATTAGGCTGAAATCAAATCAACTTAATGCTAGCACCATTCTGCACCAAGAAGTCACTGATGAGCTGTAAATATCATACCTGTGTTGATGCTTTTCTCACTTAGCGACACAACTTCAATATCTTTCTAGGAACAACTTGTCGGTTAATAAAGCAACGATTTGTTGCCACTAAACGTGAGAACAACTCCGCACAACGTATTAGAAGTATTTAATTCTACTCTTCAAATCGTAGTTTTCTATGAATATCCATCAGGTGGAACGAGTCTGCTTGTCCATCTAGACAAAACGTCACCTATAGGAAGTTAGAGCTTGGTTACATACATACGCAAACAATCAGAAAGAGAAACGTCCCACCTAGTAGATGGTAATCAATACTGAGTCCTATTCCAACAATGACTCCTTTGAAACTTAAATGTATTTTTTCACATTATGCCTCTTCGGATACAAAAATATTCTAAAATTTCTTTCCGATGTTTATGTAACGTATAAAAGATATGTGTGTGTTGAAGTGGTCAGTATTTCAACTGTGATTTAAAAGTAAATCTGATCTATTGAAAGATACTGAAAATAGACATACGATTCTACCACACTGTGATTCTACCTTCTTCAGATTAAGGTCAGCAGATTATTTGAATCATAATGCCACCGTCATTGTGACACCCACACATATGCTTATTGTCAACATTCTGATTCAGCACACTCAAGGTGATTGCAGTAAAAGACAGTAAGCACTAAGAAATGCAAGCCTACGCGTACGGAGCAAATGAATTCTACTCAGTAGTCTATGATTTTGTGTATTTCATAATTTCTCACTTCCAGATAACAAAATCAATATCTGCGTTAAATACTTTCTCAGCTATCCTTTGTTACTGTTTCTCATATCTTCAAAGTTATCACTGATGGAAAAATCACCAGCAGATGGGAGGTATGGAGTTTATTATGTTGTCACACCGTTACCATGACCAAATTTGCTATTCGCCATCTATCGCAGGTTTGAGTTGCAGCTTCCATGGATTTTCGAAAACATTGACCCGGAGGCTGCAATCTCAACCACTGTCGATATTGGGTTTACTCAATTTACATGCGAAACGTTCATCGCACGGCTGAAGTGTCATTCGATGATGTATTCCAATAGACTTCACACTGAATATTTCAACCTATCCTTAATTCAGTGAAATAAATTGAAGCTGACGTTATCCATTTGCCTACACACCGTTATATGCTTTCTGTGTTCTAAAGCAATTTTGAAATTACTGTGATAAACAAACGGTTTGCCGCTGACTGAAATGGGTAAACAATTTACAAAACTGAACTTGTAAATTGCTGACAGATATGAAATTGTAGTCATCCATATGAAAATTCCTTTTTGAATTCCACTTATCCCTTGATTTAATTTCAAAATTACCCTTTCATAGGAGATATGTAGATGATATCATTTTGATATGTGACGATCATGAAGATGTGAGTCGCCTATTATACAGTCTTAACTCTGTACAAAATCATATTAGTCTTACATGTGAGGAAGAAAGTCGCAAACAACTTGCATTTTTAGACATACTTCTGAGTCGAAGAGATGACGGCTCAATAAGACGGTCTATCTACAGAAAGCCCACTTGGACAGGGCAATACCTGTATTTTCACAGCTTCTGTCCATTACAGTATAAGAGGGGCTTGGTGAAGTGTCTATTCAAGAGGATTCAGCGTATTTGCACGGCTGATGTTATGGACAGAGAAAACGAAATATTAATAGATACTCTTGTTGAAAACGGATATCCTTTGAAATTTTTAAACAGGTGTAGAAGTCAACTAGCCTCTAAACTTACAATCCATACTGTCCTAAGAAAAAGGTTTTTATCAAATTACCATATAACGGAGAAATAAACAGTAGGATTGTGAGACAACGGTTGAATTCAATCATCCGTAGAACCTACTATGCAGACCAGCTTGTAATTGTGGAAAAAGCCAAAAATATGCTTCACTGTAAACCCTAAAAGTGCACAAGTGATTATATCACATCCCATACAGTTTACCAACTTTCGCGCTTTGCACGTGAGGGTGGGAGAGCATATCCCAAAATGGTTAGAAAAACAGATGAATTGTGACAAGGTAATAGATGCAGGTGGCAGACTACCAAATTCGTCTATAGCTAAACATCTAATCGAGATGAACCATAAGATTTATGTTAACTCAGCCTTTAAGGTCATCTATAAAAACGGTCAAGGGCGTTTACTGAAATACGCTGAGGCTATAGCTAGTCATAGACTTAAGCCCCCCTTGTGTATTCAAAAACAGTTTGTCATTACTCTTAACCTACCTTGGTAATCCTTGGTAATCCAAACTAGGACGAAACAGCTGTCCAGTACTCCCAGGTTTTCCAATGCTTCTCTAACTAATGTCAGCTCATGATGAAATCCTGAAACCAATCAAATCCCTACAAACCAACACTTGAATACCAATGAGATGCTCACTGGCGACTGGCCCTATTCAGGTAGGTAGTTACCTGGGTTCCAGTGGGAAGTCGTGACCAGTAGGGTGCAGCTGGTCGGGTGTGAGGACAAATACTTGCCGAAGACATTGGCTAGCGGTGGCGCTATGTCGTGAATTGGCAGAAGTTAGAATTCAAGGACCATTGGATCGGGTCCCAGTGGCTTAATTGTATACGAGCTCGCCTTGTAACCGGAAGGTCCTGGGTTCGAATCCCGGTGGGTGCGTACTGCTGAAGAGTCCCAAACTAGGACGAAACAGCTGTCCAGTACTCCCAGGTTTTCCAATGGTTCTCTAACTAATGTCAGCTCATGATGAAATCCTGAAACCAATCAAATCCCTACAAACCAACACTTGAATCCTTATTTGATTGGATTACCAAACGTTTGTGTTAATTATTCTTAATTCCGTTTTCTCTCACTTTGTTTAATTTAACCTTTCTATATACATTGACTTGACAAGTAAATGTGTGATCAGATTGTTCGAAATGTATAGCGCTAATACATCACATTTTTCAGATAGTCTCCGTCTTTTAATAACGCTGTCAAATTATTACATCTAGTTACATATGATGCATTACCATTGTGACTTATATTTCAATGAAGTTGCCACTCTGGTGCACACGTCACAGTGTCTTGAATCACGTCAAATTTTTCCCGTTTTAGAAGGACAATTTTCGGTGGAATGGATGTATTATGGGCCAACTGTATTAGACAATTCTGGCTTGAAGTATGTCTGTTCACGCATGCTGTGATGGGATCATCAGACTTCTGCAACACTGCGAGT